AACACGCCACTCGGCCGGCCTACCTCAGGCTTGATTTTGATGTCCTCTGTGTAACAAGGTGTTTAAAGAGCCAGCTGTAAGATGACCTGGCTGGGCTGGGAGTGTGCCTTGGCTGGCATTGCTGGTGGTCTAGGCAGGATGTGGACAGGAGCTGGGCAGGTCCCCAAGGGCAGGATGAGCAGGAAGGGAGAGGACTGGGCTTCCTCCAGGGGCCCCAGAAGCCAAGGAGGGCCCCGTGCTGCCTCGTGGCACCATCAGGTGTGCATTTTGCAAGGCTCATCATTGCCATGAGTCAGGAGTGGATGGAAGTGGTGGCAGCGTTGAGAAGGCTGAGAGGGATAAGGAGACGGAGCCAGAGCTGAGCCACCCACATGGAAGGAAAGCAGTGAGTGAATAACATGGGAAGGGGGAGAAGCAGACACCAGACAGCTTCTGGCTGCCTCAAAGTTGGCTTCCATTTTGGTGTGTTGAATCTGAGGTGTCTGTGGACCCCAGATGTGCTGGAGGTGGGTGAGTGGCTATGTGGGTCTGATGCTCTAGAAACCCGGGCCATAGCCTGGGTGAGAACCCATCAACTCACTAGTGGTGACCGCCCCAGGGATGGCTGAAGGGGAGTCAGGAGGGCAGCACCAGAGTGCAGAAACAGTTATCATGCTCTGTGCATAACACTGGGAGTCACTGCAGAGAGGGACTGCCAAGGCCTTCACAGGCCGGCTCAAGCCTCACTGGTGCGGGTCGCCTCCCTGGACCCAGGTCCAACCACAAGTCTGGTCTGGCAGCACAAAAGCGGGCTTCTGCCGCAGGAAAGCTGAAGCGCATGTGGAACAACCTCCTCCCTCCCGTGGGGTTTGTGATCATTCCTAGCGTGGGCTCCATTGACTTAAGCCAATCAGTCCTCCCCACACAGATGGCTCAGGGAGGGACCCGCTGGGCCCATGAGGGCTGGGCTTGGGACTTTTGTTAAACTAAAAGGGGCTGGAGGCCAGGGTAGAAGCTTTGTCACCCCTGCTGGCTATGAAGTCCAATGTTTGTGCTAGAGCCATCGGGACAGTAGCGGGGAGTCTGCCCACGGTAAGGCCACCCTGTGGAGTGTCCTGATGCTGTAGGACCAGCCTCTGGATTCCCCAGGTCTGAAGCCCCTCTGCTCCTGCTTCTGTCTAAGCCCACCTTGTGTGCAACCCTGACCCCTGAACTGAACTTGCCATTTCAGAAAGTCTGTTCCTTACTCACTCCCAAAGCCAGACCCTGGGAGGGGCTGATGGCCTCCAGGCTGCCTGAGTGCATTTCAGAGTGCACCTGTTGTCCCCAGACCCCCCAGCTCCTTCTCCATCCCCTCCATCCCCCTCCTGACAGGTGGAGTAGGGGGACGGGGGGAGGCGGGGGAAAAACCTAGTCGGACCAAAAGTAAGCAAGCAAGCGAGTGTGAGGCTCACAGGAACTAAAAGATCAAGTTCCGGCAGAGGAAAGACTGCGGGGGCCGGACTCTGTTCTGCCCTTCACCCTGCCTCCCCTCCCTCTTTCCGGCGGCAAACACCAATGGGGATGAGGTTTTCGAGGGGGTCACTTTGGGGCCAAGCGAGCTGCGTAACCCAGGCGTCCCCACCCCGCGGTCTTATCTTGAGATATATACTCATGTGTAAAAAATGATATAAATCCAGCCCCTTTAAATGAAATTGGAGCTCCCATCCCAGAGGAACTGCCTTGCATATCTTACTCCTCAAACCTTTGGAATGTTAAAACTGGATAAAATAACCTTTGGACTGTACCTACAGCGGTTTTGTATTCCAAACAACTGTTCGCAAAGATAACAAAGCGGACATATTATTTTCCTTCCCTTTCTCATAAATTTCTCTCTCCTTCACTTCCTCGTCATCAGAACACTGATTGGGTTTCTGCCTGAATCAGTGCTTCCCAGAATTGCAATTTGAATTGTAAGTAAACGCTTGTTGCTTCTTACCTTAACTTTTTTATTTTTAGGTTAATACAGTTAAGGGAGTAGCCATTCATCCTTATTTTATTCAGTGGGTTTTGTTTGTTTGTTTATATCAAGAATGGGTGTTGAATTTCGTCAAATGTCCCTTCAATCTCAATGGAGATGACCGTGTGACTTTTCTCCTCTGGTGAAAGATACGAGGCTGAGTCACACTTGTGGACACACTAGGAGAAGACCTTCCTTACAGTACTGGTGATGTCTCCACTGGGGTAGACAGAACATGTTGTTCTTTTAAATGTGTTTCCGGATTCTCCTTGTTAATATTTTATTTAGGGATTTTATGTTGACTTTCATAAACAGAATTGGTCTGTGGTTTGCTTTGCCAGGTTTGGGGTCAGTGCTACACTGGCGTCATAAAGTGAATGTAGGCATTTTCTTCCTTGCTGTAAACTGTGGGAGCTTAACCGGCAGGAGAGATCGCTGGTCCTAATGGCAGGACACACTTCACCTGTGGAACTTTCTAGAAGAGCGTTTGAGGTAGGCTAATGTTCTCAATTTTTTTTTAATGATTATTGATGTGTCTAGCTCTTTGCCTCTTTTTGAATCCATTTGTCATTTACATTTAAGGTTGCTAGAGTTCGAAAATAAAAATACAGGCTGCCCAATTAAATCTGAATTCCAGATAAACGACAATTTTTTAGTGCAAGTATGTCCCAAGTGTTCCAAGTCCACTTACATTGTCTTAGAAAGTAATTTATTTTGTCAACGCTTTCAAATTTATTTGAACAAAGGTGAGTAATCTTTTATAATACTTTTAACTTCTTTTATATCTTAGGCTATTTCTCATTCCTTCTTTCGTTTATTCATACTTCCTTCATTTTTACTGATTGGCTAGCTAATAGTTTATCTTTTTATTTTTTTTTTTAGCTGAGCCATCCTGCTACCTGTTGGCAGCTCAGCGACTGCTCAGCTCGGGCTGGACTCGAACCACTGTTGCTCAGAGCTCAAACTCTTGAGCGAGCTCTTAACCAACTGAGCCACTCGGCCGACCCAATAGTTTATCTTTTATATGTAGTTTTTCAAAGACCTGTTGTTTCTGATTTTAAATTGATCAATTTCTGCTTCGGTTGTTACTGAGTCCTTCCTCTTGCTTTCCTGATTGTTATGAATTCACCTTTACTAATTTCGTAAGTTAGCTGCTTTATTTATTTTGATTCTTATTGTTACTGTAACTATTCAAGGCAATGAATTTTCCTCTTAGCCCTGTTTTAGCTATTATTCTGTGGGCACTGATCTGTACTGATGTCAATGTTATTTTGAAGATATCTCAGTCTTGTTTTTTTTTTTTTTTCAAAGATTTTATTGGGG